CAATCCAACAGTTTTTTTTGGTTTTTTTTTTGAACTGAAAATCATACATGCATATCCAGGCCAGTGAAAGCAGCTTTCAGAATGAGAAAGATTTAATATCAAGAGAATAAGCAGAAACAAATTTGGAGCTCAATGCTCAAGTACACAAATCTGACTGTGAAGCCATTTTCAAGGAGCAATACCAAGTGTCCAGTGCCATGCAAGTATTACCTATGCAGCACCAGCAGGGGTGGACTTTGCTAGGGGAACACAGATACAAACATGGGGGATAGCAGTGGCTAGGGAGCTAAGGGGAAAAATAAACACTCGTATCTAATCTGCAAATACAAATGAGCAAAGCATTAAGGAAAATAAATGTCTTCACTCTGAGGATTGCTGAGGAGAAGCTTTATAAAGAAGTAAAAACTTTCATGAAACAGATGAGAAAATACTGGAGAAGAAAGACCTGTTGGTTAAAACACTACAGCTCAGAATTTTAAACTAAGGTATACTTTGGTTTAAAATAACTCAATTTACAAAACAGGAAATTATTTTCCTACATCACTAATTTCATAGCTTCTCTTTCATCTTCTCTGTTGTCTTTCTAAAACAAAAACAAAAGATACTTTGCCAGGAGAAAAAGGAATTCACCTTTTAGAATAGATTTCAGAGCTAATGCTAAATTCTGCACCAACTATGATAAATAAATTGACATGGAAGAAAATCTGATCACAGTATCATTCAACTAGAAATGCCCAAGAGGTACTTTGTACAACAGTGAAAGTTAATGCTAAATTGTGTATTTGGTTTGTATGTGGTAAATATTAGAGTTTAATAAAACCAATTTCATTGTTTTCAATTTTGGGGAAGGGACAGATGATGTTCAGGGTGATTTTTTTATTCTGTTTTGAATCTCTAAAGGCTAGTTAATATGTAAGAAAAAATTACTAAGGAAATAATGCAAATTTAAATTCTCCCTAATAGGCATATGCTAGTTTTCAGAAATGCAAAGGTGACACTTCAGGAGAAGGGGTTAAGATAAGAGCAGGAGAAAAATCAAACAGAGTGTTTCTAAATACCATGTTATAAATGAATAATATATTCAGTCTTGTAAGAAGGCTTGGGAGATCTAAAGGAATAAGCAGAACTGCGGATAAAAAAGAATTTAAAGTTGAGGAGGCGCTTTGGAGACTTTAAGATTAAAAGGTACAATTCATAGTCATAACAACATGAGGCAAATAGCTTGTAGTCAGTGTGCGGGCTCTTAGGGATGAATTCATTCAATATTTCCCATTTCTTTGAGAGGATGGAAGAAAGTCATTTACTCTGTATTGAGCAGGAGACACCATGTTCCAAAATGAGGCTCTTAGCCTTCCAGTTTTACAAAGGGAGGGCTGGGCTGTCAGAGTCACGCTTTATTTAACTTTGTCTTCTCACCTGCATCTGAGTTCCAACGTTCTCCAGGGAAACCTTTGAGCTTGCTGCTAGGGGCTATTCATGCTGTAAGATGTTAACCAAAGTGCAGAGAGATGTGGCTTCAGGGAGCTTTGTGATCATACTGGTGATTTTGACGGGTGACATGGAGAGGAGAGAGGAAGGCAGAGCATATAAAATTACCTGTGGGCTTTATCCATAGGTGTGGAACTAGGGTGACCTCTGCTCCAGATCTCACAATTGCTGGGCAAAACTAGACAAGTTTCTGCAACTCTCTGAGATTTGTTGCCTGCAGATTAAGTTTAGGACTCAAAATATAGTCCTGTATGTAAGGATCTTTGCAGAATCCACCACAGATGCATCCAGGGAAAGGAAGCTTCAAACAAAAATACTAATAAAAGAGTAGCTGTCACATGATTTGGTGTTCTAGGAAATATGTATACCTTTTACACAATTTTTGGTTTTATGCTTAACACAGAAGCGGACAGCTATGGAAACAATCCTGGATTGAAGTCAAAGGCGGGGCTTATTTGTATGACGTTGGGAGCATTGTTAAACCTCCCAGCCCCAGTCTTCTTATATTAGTTTCTTATTGTGGCCGTAAAAAATGCCACAAACTCAGGGTCTTAAAACAACGTAAAAGTATTGTCTTGTACTTCTTTAGTTCAAAAGTGTGGTACAGATCTCATTAGGCTAAAATTGGGATTTCAGGGCTTCTTTTCTTCTGGAATCCTTTCCCTCAGCCTTTTGGCTTCTCAAGATTGCCTGCAGTCCTCGGCGACACCTATTTCTCTACCTGTAAAGTTTCGTCATGTTAGTATGACCCTCCTTCTACTTCTTTCTTCCACTTTCAAGGTCTCCTATAATTACATTAAAGCCACCCAGATAATCTACTATCACCTCTTCATCTCAAGGCCATTTGATTAGTAATCTTTTTTTTTTTCCTTTCTGTCTTTTTGAGGCAGGGTCTTTCTATGCAGCTCAGGCTGGCCTTGAGCTCAATTTGTAGCCCAGGCTGGTCTTGAACTTGCAAGCATCCTGCCTCAGCCTCCAGAGTGCTGGGATTACAGGTGTGCACCTTAACGCTCGGCCTTGATTAGTAATCTTAATTTCTTCTTCAACCTTAATTTCCCCTGCCTTAGAAGGTATAGGCTGAGAACCCCTCATGTGAAACTGTTGGAAGCAGAGGAGTTTCTGATTTAGAATTTTTTTATTTTAGAATATTTGTGTGTACATGAGGTATCCTGGAGCTGGGACCTAAATCTAAACTTAAGATTCATTTCTATTTTGTGTACACTTTATATACATAGCCTATGGTTAATTTTATGCAATATTTAGTGTATCTATGTTTTGCCTATGACCTATCACATGAATTCTGGTTTCAGATTTGCCACTTTTGGCATCATGCTGATGCTCAAAACGTTTCACACTTTGGAGCATTTCAGATATTGGACTTACAGGTTAGGAATGCTAAGCTTATAATACATTTACATGTTCTAAGTATCAAGATATGGACATCTTTGGGGAACCATTTTTCTACCTGGCTTAGTTCTTATCCATGAAATAGAAATGCTAGCTGATACAGCAATAGTTCTTTTAAGTTTAGATACATAAATTTTTGTTCATGTGCTAATTTGTCTTTGGTAAGACAGGGCTTTTTCTTTGATCCTGTGTGTGCATATTGATGTTCTGCATGTTTGTTATGTAAGTATACTCAAAACACATGTTGACCACTTCAATTTTGCTTTTAGTTAAGAGGAAATCTAAAAAAGTATATTATGAAGGAATATAGCTCATTTATTTTTAGATATTTTCATAATTTTTTATGATTTGCTCATTCAAGACTAGTTTAATTACCTATTAAAATAGGTGATATTTCTTCTATCTTTCCAGATATTTCAGCATCATTTTTACAGAAAAATTATTTTGTACTAATTTTGACCTAAGTATGTAAATATGAACAAAATTGTGTACTTCTGGGAGCAGGTACAAATGGCAAAAACAATTACAAATTATCTTGGCTTGCAGAGAATTGACCCAGTAGAAGCACAGATGTGCAGATAAATCAGTGACCCAGGCTAGCAGGCATTGATCACTGTATTTATCTGAATTAACAGAGATGGTCAAGTCCTTAAGTGGAGGTGGATTAAGGGAGCTTCCACCATGATAAGACTAACATTGTTACATGCTTGTAACATACAAGGAACCATGTGGTGCTTAAATGCCTTACCTTTTTAATTATTAAAATCCTTCAAGGGAAGAAGAACTTGAGGAGAAAAACAATTTCTCAAAAACCTGTAGTCAAAAGGAAGCAGAATTTGGACCTGAAATTGTGTAGTCTGACTTCACCAGTTAATCACAGTCATATCACTACTGTCTTCTTCACTCGGCCTTACTGACCTGAGCGGCCTGTATAATAGACAAAGTCTTATGCCCAGAAGTATTTATCTTGGTCACTTTCTTTTTCCCTGGGACAAAATACCTGACACCTACCACTCAAAGGAAGACAGGGTTATTTTGGATCCCAGTTTAGAAGCTTCAGTCCTTGCCTATTGAGAGGCACAGTGGGAGGACCTGGGTGGAGCAAAGCTGCCCACCTCACCGCAGCCAGGAAGCAGAGCCGCAGGGAGGAGTGGAGGAAGGAGATGGACCCTCACTCTCCAGATCAGTCCAGCAGTGGCCAGCATCTTCTGATCAGGCTTTGCTTCCCAACACCACATCAGTTCATCCAATCACCTTCACGCAGCCCTGCCTCTGAACTCAGGGGGCTTTGGGAGCACATCCAGATGTAAACCATAACAGTGTTGAATAAAAGCTGCCAGATGTGGCGGCACATGCCTGTAATCCTAGAAATCTGGGAGGTTGAGGATGATGTTCAAGCCCAGCCTGGACAATTTCAAGATGCAGCAAGACCATACCTCAAATAAGAAAATAGAAAATAACAAGGGGGAGGGGTTAGGCTCAGTGTGAAGGTCTTGGTTTTGGTCCTCAGTACCATAAAATAAAATAAAATAAAAACATATAACAATAGCCACCACTGATTGAACACTCATTCTGTGACAGACCCTCAGCTAAGCTTCTGGCATATGTTTTTCACTCAATCCAGTGCTCACAACAGCATTACGAAGAAGTTGGTTTTATTAGTCCATTTTACAGTTAAGAAAACTAAGCAAAGGGAAGTTAAATAATCTGCTCTAGGCCACCAGAACTAACAGATGGTAGAGCTTGGTAGAGACTTGAGTCCCTACTTAACAGATTTCATTCTCCAGTTCTTCCAGATCATTCTCTGAGGAGAGGAGGAAGAGAATGACTATTATCCAGAAAAAACAGACTAAATTTCCACAAATTCAAAACATCGAATTAGTTCATCTCTCATACATTATCTATTTGTTTTCATTTGGCCCCTGTCTCCCCTAAAACACCAAAAACCTGTAGATTTAAAAGAATCTGAGAATCTTCTGTATGATGTATCAAAACTGTGTCAAGAACATGCCAACAGTAGGAGGCACGTGTGCTCTGTCGGTCTATCACTTATGTTAACCGTTTGGAATGGGTAACTGCTTATAACAGCTATTGCGGTAGCCATTTTGAGATGGCGCTCCATTTGGGTAGCGTACTGGGTTCTCTCTTCACCAGTTACCTACCATTTTCTCATTTTGAAGAAATAAAAAGGAGTTACTCTGAGGCCACACTTTTGTGGAGAAGTTCTGCCTTCAGAGAACAAGGTTAAACCACAGTGACTCTTCAGCTACACAGACCAAAACCTTCAAGAGCAGGGTGAAGAGTCGTTTTTCTCTTTCCATACACGGCTTGTAACCCAGTGAGGGCTCGCAGTGGTTCCAAACACAGCTCCATCGTTCCACAGTTTCATGGACCGCCGAACCATTTTGCCTCTATGGTCTCCCGGCTTCTGGAAAACAGTTTTGCTCAAGGTCCTCTCCCCTCACGTACTCTAAGTAGCTCTGCCTGGTTCTAGTTTTGTTACTTAAACTCAGGATTCAGTTTTGTTTGGAGATTTCTGAGACTTCATTCTCTTTCTAAAACTGCTGCTCCGAAACCTACTACTGTGAAAATAGAGACAAACAAGATGAAATAAAGAAAGCAAGTGAGGAGGAGAAGAAGAGCCTAGCACTGGAGGGTTTGGTAGATCTCTTTTCCAGAAGCACCAGGCCCTCAGCATGAGACCCATCTGAGCTCTGTCCAAGGAGGCCCGGCCTTTTTCCCATCCCATGGACTTTGTACTTCTCTCTCTTTCAGGGTGGGAGATAAACTGCAGAAGGCAGCACCATTTTTCACCTTTTCCATCCTCATTTGCAGAATCTGGGTTTAGGTCAGCCTTCCATACTTGTTTGAATGAATGAGAAAAAAGAGACTTATGAATTCATGAATGAAAATTCACAGGCGAGGGGGAAGAAAATTAACAAAGGATGGCAAACTAGGGCAGAGGGATGGCTCTATTTATTTATTTATTTATTTTTTTCCGGTACCAGGAATCGAACTCATGACCTTGTGCTTGCCAGGCAGGTGCTGTACCTCTGAGCTAAATCCCCAGCCCCGGATGGCTCCATTTAATGTGACAAAAGTAAAATGATTCCTGCAGAAGGGGGGGACTTTCCCCACACTGGTGCACTCATGATTTTCAAATTCAGTGTCCAGATCATTTCAACATACTATTTATTATATTCAAATTAAATGGACCAACCTACTTCTGGGTATAGTACGTCTAAAAAAAATCTCTAGACTCAGAGTTGAAGGGATAGAGTTCACACTCACTTATGATAATTTTCCAGCTATGGGATTTTGGGCAAATCACCTAAGCCTGTCTGTGTAATGAGGTTTGTAATGCTTTTGCTTCCTATTGTGGAATTGGAGAGCTACGTCTCCTTTTTGAGAAGAGAAATGTGAAATAGATCTCTATTTCTATCTCCTCCAGTCTCCATCTCCATATCTCTTTAACTCAGCCTTGATGAAAGGAATGGTAGGAAGCGAGGGGTTTTGCAAAGAGAAGAAGCAGTCCTAAAATCCATAAAATGCTTCTTTATTCAAATGCTGTGATATGCAGTATCTTTCTCTATCAACGGTAGAGAGAAGGATACAGACTATTTAAAACTTGTCAATGAAATATGAGGCAAAGGTTGCAGGTAAAATGAAATTTGATTATGTTCAGTTTTTTTTCTCATACGTTAGATCATCTCCCCATGTTTTCTCATATTCAATATACAAAAGATAAATGTTTTCAGAGCCATAAAACTCTGAGACTACACAGACTTGCTTAATCTTAATTTAGAACTCCAATCTTTATGCCCAAGATTCATGTTAACTCCAGAATTACAGAACGTGTTTCAGAGAGTATGTGTCATAAAACTCTTTTAGGAAAAATATTTAGAAAATGTATCTTATTACTTGTATTTATAGTAAATATTCTCCCAAGTTTTTCCTTCCTATCACCCTTTTCTCCTACAGCAATGGAGAAAACGGCTTACTTTGTATTATAAAATGGTTCTAATATGTTGCAGGTAATCCAGTCATTGTCAGCACATCTCTCTTTGGGTTACCTTGTGAGTTTGTTGAGAAAAATCAAATCAAGTGGTGCTCCTTCCCAAACTCTTTTAAAATTATAAAAAGAAAAATACATGTAAGATGTTTGGTAGTGCTATTGCTAGGCTAAGCTCGGGAGCAGATTGGGACAAAAGAGAGAAGCACTAACTTTATCAACTGTGACCTTGGGTTGAAACCAAAGCACTTTTCCTACATCAGCTCACTGACTATAACTATTCTTAGCAATCAGGACCTTCAGAAGCCTTCATACTAAAAGATTATGACTTACGTTCCTATTTCATATGAAGTCCACAATGGTCAGTAAGTAACAAACGTACATGCATATCCAAAATAATGTCTGTTTTATTCCATAATTATTGTTTAGACTTTTTAGCATTGCAAAATATATGTTTCTTACAAAAAAAAAATCAATGCCCCTGTTTTAGTTGGTGTCCCTGGTTTTGCTGGAGACTTCCCAGCATTGCATTTATATATTCTTCCAGATGGAATGAATTAAAGAGTAGAATCCATCTCCAACTCATTTCTGTCTAATCACCTGAATTAAAAATTATTTTTCAAAACATTTTGCGTCTTCTAAGATGGATTTTTCCCTAGTCCTAAATTCAGCTGAGTGAACTGTTAGATAAAAGAAACAAATAGAATGACCTAGGGAGTTAAAACATGCCTTAGGCAACGAGCACATGTCTTTCTAAGTCCCATCTGCGGAGCCTGGGTTTCCAAGGTGCAGTGCAGTGATGGCAGGTGAGTGTGCTCTTTTATTTTTTTACCTTTTCCTCCCGGAGGATCCATGTCCTTCCTAATGAAGGCATGACACAAGTCTAAGACCAACTGCACAAACGTACCTAGATCTTACTCGCCGTTCTGATGGCTGGGTCCCCAGTGCGCAGACCTAATTTGGACAGCTTGATCCCGTATGGATTTTTCCTTTCCTTTCCCTTCACCTGCCCTCAAGCGGGTCCCTGTACACAGCCTGTGTGTGCAGACCCCACCTGGCATTTTATACTGATGGTGGAGGCTGGAGGAGCATTCCCAGGAAGACCATTGTTCCTGCAGGTAATAAAGAACCTCGCAAGAGCGCTGTTTCTGGAGCACAGGTGCGGCTTGTTCATTCAGGCCTCATCTTGGATTTATTCAGCACCTGCACTTGCAAAGCAATCGACATGTCTCTCCAACCTGAGCTTGATGTATCGAGTGATGTGCTGCTTCCTTGTCTGTAAGATGAGGATGTTAGATTTCACCCCCTGGAGGTCTCCTGTACTTCCGACACTGGTGAGAGTTACATTCTGGGTAAGTTCCTCAGTTTCCTCTCTGGGTGTGGGAGAGATGTGTTCACCTCTGGTGGACTAGAACAGCCAGAGCTGTCTCTTACAGTGTGAATTACAGGGTGCTGCTTCCAAGCCCATGTGCTTTTAATGATGTCCCAGGGTGTCTGGCACAGAAGCCAACTTCTGACTCATCCTCAGGGAGTCCCCGATCATCTCTCGGACTTCAGCTTTCCCCCCCAGCTCAGTGAATCTCTCCCCTCTTTAGTTAGCTGACTGATTTCTGGGCAAGATTCTTGTTTTTACTGTTGGGTGTGTGCAGTGTTCTACCAATGCTCCTGGCCATGTCTGTGTGCTACTTAGCTCTCACTTCCCGTGTCGTTGCCACAGAGAGGCTTCTCTGATATATAGTCATTACCTGAGCTGAAATTATGTTTATTTATTGTTTGCCCATTTTCCTTATCAGAATATGTGGGGATGAATAAAGACATCAACTTTTTGGTTGCTATGCTGTTTGTAATTAGAAAAGAGTAGAATAGGTACCAGTAGACATGTGTGAAATGAATGAATAGTAAGAATATAGCTGTAGGTACATATCACTTAATCTGTGCTCTGTTCCACATATGTGCTCTGTTTCTCATATATTAACTGAATTCTTATAGTAGTGTTGTGGGGCAGAGGCAGTCATTATCTCCCATTAATAGTCCAGGACATTGTGAAACAGAGGAGATGAATAGCTGGCTTGCTGGATGTTTTAATGATATGACCAAATGCACTCTTCTGCAGCTTTATACTTTTTGGGTGGAGATTAAGCAACCATCTGTAAACGCCATTAGAGGTTGGGTCTGGAAGCTTGATGCTTTCACTGTGTTGTGATTGCCTCCACTAACGTAAGAAATTTCACAGTTCCTTTGTCAGGTAACTAGTCAAACCAATGTAGGAAGTCAGAATTTTCTAAAAAATTCTTTACATCTCTTTAATCTCAATCAGAGTAGGACTTTTATAAGGCCCGAGTATCATATCATTAGGTAAGCACCTGAAACAGGCACTATGAGAGTTTTTCATTTCATTTTTGTAACACACTCGTAAACCTTGTACAATTAATAAGTACCTTGATATGTGAAGATTAATAAAGTAAGTATTGCACAAGATGATTTTCTTTCTTGAGTGTTAGAATGAGTGAATCACAGCAACATGAACCCCACTGGCTTTATTGAAATATTAAAATATATAAATAATTTATATGGAGACAGACTCACAGAAGATATGAAATCTTCAGAGCTTACATGCATAAATTATGTACACTATTTGATTTAAGAAGTTTAATGTGGTAGAAAATATCCATCTCAGTTTTCCACATGCAGCAGGCCCTTAATACAGTGTGAAAGAGGGAGGTTAAACTGAGTCTGAGCAAGAAAATTTGGGGTTCCAGACTGGCAGTCAGCAAAGTGCAAAAATCATTATTGTTCTCAAATCAGTCAGACATTTGATTCAGAAAAACATGGATTTTTACAACAGACTACAACACAAGTGTTATTGCCATGGTAAAAAAAAAAAAAAAAAAATTCAGGCTAAACTAGGTCCTAACACCTTCCCATTGCTCAGTTCCCCACATTCCTTTCTGACAGTTGTAACGCTTGTAGTTCCTTGCTTGATGCTGGCTTTGCTTGTAGATTTGCAGCTTGAAAAAGACAAGGCGACTGTCCGGTTTAGTGTTGTACCCAGCAGGCTTGTCTGTGTTGAACCCAATCTCTCTATCTCAGAATTGTGAAATGATAGGAAAACACTCAAGGGTAAAGGGCAACTGGGATGGGGGAAAAGAGAAGGGAAAGAAGGAGAAATTTTGTATGTAGGTATATACAGGATAGTTAGCATAGTTGTTCTACTGTCTTCTGTTTCTTTGCCAAAAGAAACTGTCAGTGAGTCCTTGATTGGTCAGTATTGCATGTCTCTATTTGTTTTCATGAGAAACCACTCTGAAGATATCAATATGTAATACAACAAGCATTGTTAATTCCTACCACTTTGTTTGTAACTCTGTATTGTCTGTACTGTTCTTTTGCTATTTTGTAAAATGGTGTCTGTCTGTTAATGTTTTCCTCCTTTTATTTTTAAAATTAAAAAAAGAATTTTTAGAAATTAAGAATATAATTAAAATAAAAATTCAACGCATATTGTTTAACTGATCAAGACTCTGATGCAAAGAAATTAATGAACTGGAAATAGGCCCAAAGAAATTTTCCAGATTTCAATCTACAGTGAAAAAATGTAGGAAACAGAGGACAAAGAAGTTAAGATGTAAAATAGAGTGAGAAAAATCTAACAAACACTGTATGGAGCTATAGGAATACTGGTTAGAATACAGGCAGCCATATAACTGCTAATAATTTCCAGAACTGACAAAAACATCAACCCAGAGATCCAAGAAGCTAATGAGTCCTGATAAATAAAAATAAAACGTTAAGAAAACATCACAATGAGAGTGAAGAACGAAGACAAAGGGGAAAAATCATGAAGTTAATCACAGATTAAAAAGCATTATTTGGAGAGAATTAGCAAGTAGACTGACATCTGCGTTTTCAAATTCAGCAATGGAAGACAATACACAGCGGCAAAGGTTACAGTGTCTTTGAACACTGTAACTCATATAGTTGCTGAAACTATCACTTGGGGATGGGGTGCAGCTCAGAGGTTGAGCTCTTGCCTACCCGTATGAGGCGCAGGGTTCAACCCCTAGCATCTCACCTCCCCTGAAAACCATCCCATTTAAAAGTATAAAACAAATTTACTTTGAAGTAAATAAAACCTAAAAATACTTTTCAATAATCACTAACATGCTGTAACCAAAAATTCAAATTCAAAACAATGCACAGTAGCTAAAAAGGAATGGGATTTCCCGATGGGAGGTCTGAGCTACAAAATAGCATGGTCGTGCAAAAGTGGGTTGTGTATACTGGTAAAAACTAAACAGAGGATAAGGGAATCGTAAAACTTGTTTATATAATTTTTAAAACAAGAGATAATTAAAATACAAAATATGAGTAAACTGTGTAGTAAGTGGGGAAGTCAGTACAGTAGGCTGCTATGGTCTGCATTTTGCTTGCCAAAGTCTCTGTCACCTAGGATTGGTACAGTCCAAATGTATTAGTGGGAAATTCCAGAAATAAACAAGTCACGTGCTCTTAAAAAAAAATGAATTCTTATCTGTAAGTCAGCTACAGTAAAAGTAACCACCCCATAGGTTAATAATGAAGAACACACGTCCCTGCACTTGACATTCATAGTACAGTCCAGTCCCCTAGTGTAAAACACAAAGTTTTAGCTGTTAATTTCACTAGAGTGTAAGTTATGTGAGAGAAGGGACTTGGTAAGTTTTGCTTGCTTATGATTCCCTGGTGCCTATCACAGTGTCCTGAGCATAATTGGCACCTAATTAATAATTCTTGGGTAATTTAGTTGCGGAATTAACATTTCATACCCTTAATTAGATTTGGATGCTTGGTTACAGCGTGGTATACAGAACGCACATACGCTTGTGCACAGATGCATGCATACACATCTTTATTTTCATGATTCTCAGTATAAATTTTGGATTAATTACTTCAGCCAACTATTGTGAGGACAACCAAATAGCACAAGGCATTCCCAGCACTGGACATCTGGGAAGGTGGACCATTTGCTTTCAGCTTTCAGCTGCCTTTGAACTCTGCCTCTGGCTCGTTCCCCAGATGTTTCTCTATGGTCTGGATCAAAGCCATAGCCTGCTTTCATTTTGCAAAGGGGCAGCGCAACATATCATCCCAAGGATTGCAGCGGGGAAGTAAATAGCCCCTTACCTTAAATGCCAATTTATTGTTCCCACTCTGTCATACTTGATTAAAATACAGAGTTTGCCTCCCAGGCTGAAATTAGCTTTTCATTTTGACTGACTGCCATCCAGGTCTGAAAAACAGCAGCTCGTTTGTTTCAATATTTACCACATCCATTCGGAAGAGGTTTACATTATTGCCAATTAGGATTTAATTGTTGCCCATAACTCAAACATTGGCTGGCTTTTTACAGAGGAAAAGCTATCATTCGCTTTTTCACCATCCTGACCTTGGACCCTTGCACTGTGAGTGGAGGAGTCTCTTTTCCTTGAGATAAGGCAGGTTGAGAAGGCAGCATTGCTCCCAACTCTTAGTTTCACAATGTGACCAGAGGTAAGCATTAATTGCCCAGTTTAATGAAATGTGGTTAAGCCTGTGTGTTGGGCATCTGCTGCCTTTACCTCTCTACTTTGTATCCTAATGTTGTGCTAGCAGAAATCTGATATGATTTTGGAGACATTCTCTGGTGTTTAAAATACCGCAGATCCTCCTGGCTGGACATCCAGCTTTTACCACTGCCTCCCACAGTGTGCTCTTAACACTGTAGTTCTCCACACACTCCAGGGCTCTCCATGTGAGCCTTTTAAAGTATATCAGACCACATTTCTCCTCAGGTTCCAAGCCTCCACTGCCTGCCTGTGCCACTCATGGTAGATGGCAGCACCTGTGTCATGGTTTGCAAAGCTCTGCACATCTTGGCTCCACACTTGCAAATCCCACTTGACATCCTACGCCTATTTCCTCCCCTATTCCACTCCAGTCACTCTGGCCTGGCTGCTACATCTCAGTCATACCAAATACTCTTTCATCTCAGGGACTTTGGACCTCTTTCTCTGCTTGGAACTATCTTATTCCAGGAATTCCAGTGGGTTGCTCCTTCACTGCTCCTTCACATCTCATGTCAGAGAGATCTTCCAGGTAAATTGAGTGAAATTTGGCCTAACACTGTCTCCGTACATATTTGAATTTTGGCCTAAAGTTTTCTCCATATGTAATGAACTGCAGCCTAACTTAATGTGTAAACAGATAAGAACCTACTTTTGTAGCAGGTAGCCAATCACATGTGACTGCCTGGTCAAACCATGCTCAAATGTGACACACATGCACTATAACCAATCATCCTGTCCCAGTTTCTCGTTCCACTTTCCTTAGGTTGTTTCTTTTTCTCTGCCTATAAATGTAGCTGCCCATGGAGTGAGGCATTCTGAACCACTTTTGCTTGAGACTGCTGTTTGATTCTGGAATCTCAGAGAAAGCCAATGAAGATCTGAAAACTAAATTTGTTGTAATTTTCTCTTTTCACAGCCTGGAACCACCTGTATAGGAAAGCCACTTCCAGATGCCTGTAACTTTCTGTGCTCTTTCCTATGCCTCACTTACCATCATTGTACGTATTATACATTTATACATGCCTCCTCAAAGATCTAAATTCCAGAAAAACAGGGATGCATTAGACTTAGTTTTGTAGCTCAGTGTTGTCAAGATACTTTTCCTCTTACTTTCTAACAAGCTCATCTCTCCCTATATCTTTCCACTCAGTCCACATAGGTGTACTCTGTCTTCCCAAATGCCCTTACCTACCTTTCTTTTCTGTGATGCTTCAGGTGGCAGAACAACTAATCCTTTATAACTATTATCTCACTTAATTGTATCTCCCTTGGTGCTTATAACAGAAATCATTCACTCTAGGGCATAAAGATACTTCCATGTTAAAAAGTTTCTGTTATATCTAAATGCCTAACTCATTGGTGGAATTTTGGGCAAAGTGTCACAGTTTTATGTGTATAGCATATTCTTAGGAATCAAGTGGTTTCACAGAGAAATGTAATTCTCAGCTCTTCCTAAAAGCTGGACACTCTTGTGTATCAGTCAGCTTTCAGACTGCTAGTACACAGTATTTGACATCCACAGCTTTAAGGAGGAAAAGTTGAATGTAGTTTACAGTTTTAGGGGATTCAGATTATGTCAGTTGGCTCTAACAGAGAACATCACTGTGGACCAAAGATGTTCAGTGTATGGCAACCAGGAAGCAAAGTGGAGGAACAGTGCCATAAAGAAAGGGAACCAGGGACCATTTATAGTACCTGTTGTCAAGCCTCCACGACCCAACCAGATATACCCAGAAATGTACTTTACTAAACCTGTAGGTGACTCCCAAACCAGCCACACTGGCACAATTAAGCTTGACCATTAAAATCTGGTACATGTCTGCTGGCATCACCGCTTGAAGCTGAAACTTTATCTACTTATTGAGCAAAGCACGGGTTCCTACTGTAGTTCCCAGCAGAACCACTTTACACATCTGTATGTTCGTGTGACCATTTGAGTTTTCAGTGTTGACTGAGTGTGTGTCCACCTCGGCTTGTGGGTAAGCAGGAAACTCCTATCTCAGGGAATATGTACACATCCAGTGCCAGCATAAGTGGATACTCCTCCCTACCCTGTGCATGGCTGTCTGGTCTCAACAGGAGCTTAGCAAGTATACAGGTTTCCTGTTCTCATAATTTGGAAACTACTTCTTTTGAGACATCTTAAAAAATAATGTGCTTCGTCCAATCCCAGACATATTACATAGAAATCCTCAGTATCTGAGGTCTTATTTCAATAATTCCTTAAGGTTCTCAGGTAATTCTAAATATGAAGCCAGGTTTGAGAGTCACTATGACAATATTGTTTATTGATAACTAGCGCAGGAGAGGGTGTCTTTCAGTTAGGGTAGCCTAGGGATAGACTAAAGATCACTGTGGTCACAAGAGAGGAAACATTTTCAGTCTTTACGTCTTCCCAGATCCTGTAAGGAAGAGCGGCTGTAGGTGATGGAAGTTTCCCCTGGGACAACTGTCCTTGTTACAAAAATAAGAAGATATGTAACACAAGAGATAAAGCAGCAAATTGAATAGCAGTCACTTCCTGATTAGAAGTCTTTGTCTAATGTGGACGGAAGCACTTGTTTTGGCATTGACTTCGAAAGTCTTTTCAGAGCAAATTTTTAATCTAGGGAATCAAATGTGAGAGGTGTACTGGTTATCACCCACCAAACTTTACCAGTAATTGAATGTTGTGATTTTCTATTTTTTCTCTGGATTAAAATGTATAGCACCCTCTAAAATGACCCCTGCCTGTTAGATGTGTTACAACATTTGTGGGTACTGACAAGTCCCTGTTGTCCCATGACTAAGAGAGCGAACTTGCTAATCTTCAGGGACACAGAAGGTGGTGCGAACATCAGAAAGTGGTGCCCACCTGAAGTTTTATGCCTGTGTAAAAGCAGACATTTCATTGCAGGCGATTTCCAGATTTCCAGATTTCCAGTATGGATGAGAAAACTTTTGTCTGTCTGTATGTTAACGGATCTTTGCAGTGGACCACAATTCACAGGAAAATCACTTACAGGCCCAGCCCGGAGAGCAATCAATGGGACAAGGAGAAGAAGAGTTACCTCCGTTTAATTAGCTCCAGGTTTGTGACAAACGGAGAGGGTGACTGTGAGGAGGCACAGCTGCTTCATTTCAGACTGTATCATGCTGGAGCATCATTCTTCGCTCCAAAACTTTGTCAAGATCATTTTACCAAGAGCACTTACTAGAAAACCTTTTTGGAGGGGGAAAAAAAAAAAAAACAAGTAATGTATTCTGTACGGCTGTAAAGCAGCCACTTAGAAACACAGCACTTTAATTATACTCTTTGAAAGAAAGAGAGCATTGGATCTTAACTACTATTCCAAATCCCTCACCTAAGGGGTAGAATTATAAAACTGCTCTGCATCAGCTTTGCTATTACTACATATTTAGACAAGGGCAAAATTAAAAACAGGGTTATTTATCAAACGTGGCTCATTATTTTCATTAGGGCATGCAATATGTGGTTTGTTGGAGCAAATTGGAGTGTAGTAGGCATGTTTATTGCATTCGCCCTGAGGGGTTTTCCTGATGGTTCTGGCAACAGATGAGTGGGCCTAGATTAGTTCTTTCTACTGGATTCTTCCAATAAAGCCAGTAAGTTATAGAAAAAAGGTTTGAAATTGAGCCTCTTATTCTTGAGTCTTTTTTTTTTTCTGCCCAAGCCATGGCTACTAAAAAGCTTGCTGGGGCTGGGGATTTAGCTCAGCGGCAAAGCGCCTGCCTGGCAAGCGCAAGGTCGTGAGGTCGGTTCCCAGTACCGGAAAAAAAAACAAAATAAATAAATAAATAAATAAATAAAAAGCTTGCTGACCACTGGGGAAAGCATTTAAGTAATTTTCTGAATTTATTTCTGTGTATATGTATCACAATGATATGCTAAAATTGTATTTGACCTTTACCTAGGTGTAAAAAAATATTACTCATCATTAGAGTAGAGCGGTGAGCTGTCACTGACCCTCAAGAAGGTCTTAGTCTAATGGAGGAGATTAATACAATAAGCATTTTGTTTATCTTATTTCTATGGTACATTTTCTAGGTTCTCCTCCCTGTGTCAACATGTCCTGCCTCTAAGTATGTGATCTGCTACTTTGCAATAGGTGTGAGAGATTTATTCTACTTGGTCCAATGGATCATTTTCCCATGGCATTTGGACTTGGGACAAAAAGAAGAAATTGTCTGAAAGTAATAAATATTCTGTAACAGATCCAACAACTTGTAATGAATATATTTAACTACTAACAAAGCAAAAGGGAAGAAAGTCCTCCCACTTGGTGAGCCATTGGTGTGTGCTAGTGGGTCAAGTTTCTGAGAAAATTAAAAACAAAAATTCTGACTTGAATCATTCATGAATTTTAATGAGATGTAAATACTCCTGCTGTGACCAGTTTCAAGTTTCCAACCTTTCAGTTGTTTCACAAAATTACTGGATTTGGGGTGATCCACTTTCTAGAGCCTATATGAACAAGCACCATCAGTCCACTAGGGCAGAAAGGTCACATTCAAATTGAAGAAAAGAATGAAGACAGAGGTTACAAGTGTAAATAGATAAATATGTTCTGATTTCAATAGATGCTATAGGACAATTAATTAGTAAATTAGTATGATAGCAGTTAAAGAGAGCCAGTAGTTGCATATCCAGGTACTCTCTGATGCATCTCGTGTACACAGCATCTGTCCTGCAGTTAGCAGGAGAAGGGCTGTCTTAGGAGCTGCTATTTGAACTGAGTTATGACGATAGAGAAAGGAACTGGTGTGAAAAGTATGTGCCAGGCATGGGGGCAGCAAATGTAGAGGACACTAGATAGGGAAGAGTTCAATGTGTTGGCAAAAGAGGGAGGTCCGTGTTTGGGTGGATGGTAAATGAACTGAATGGAAATTCTCCTGGGTACTATCCCAATCGGGGGCGGTGGGGGGGGGTGTAGATGAAGCAGCCACCCATAGAAAGACCTGTATAAGTAATGGTTGGAAAATGCTCGTGACATTTGTGTCCCTCACACTGGCTGTTCCTTAGGCCCAGTTGCTTTCCATTCTTGGGTCTGTAAATATCCAGTATCTTTTATAATGAATTCCTACTGCAGTTAGAATTTGGTGATTTGGTACCAAAATAATTATAATGCATGCATTTTGATACACACACATTTCTAATTTTTTTCATACAATTTTTTAAAAAGTTCATAGCAAACTTGCTAGTAGATGATGCATTTTTAATCTAAACCCAGGAAACATTTTTGTAGTGCCTAGAAGGGATCTTTCACATATCTGTATTTGCCACCGTGCTTAACACGGTTCATCTCACACCAAGGACTCAGAAAACAGTTGATAAGAGAATGAATAAGGGACCCAGTTATGCTGAGTGCAGTAGTTATCAAGTTTGAGTGTGTATCAGAAATAGCCTTGTTAAAAATGAAGGTGGAGGATCCTTGTACCCTGGGATTTGGACCTTCGGTGAGTAGCTCAGGGATCTTGTTGCAGAGAACTGAGTGCAATGCTTCAATAAGCTTGGGCTTAGCAGAAGATTTGACTGGAAAAGCATAGAGAGAAGATAGGAATTACCCAGGATGCTTTTCACAGGGCAGAATGGTCTGGCAGAAATAAAGTGTGGAGCTTCTGTTTTGCAACTCAGACTGTGGATTTGGAGAAGTGGCTTTCTCTCTGGTGGTCAACTATCCTCCAATGCATAAAGACAGTTTGATGACCTCAAATAAACTGCTCCCTCCAACTCTGATGTTCAGTGACTGCCCTGGTGACCTTAGGAAGCACATCTATCTGATCCACACTGGGTTTCTGCACTGGCACTGCAGTGATGTCACTCATATCCCTGGTTTTCCTTAGATGGTATGGGTAGAATGTTGAGGAGAGAAGGACTTCTCAAACATGGTCTTTTGTCCTAGAACTTGGCCAGGTTCTTGCTCCCATTAGCCTAGTTTCTCCATGTGTAGAATGAGGGTGTTGGGCTAGATCCTTATTTCTCAAAGGGAAGAAGGTGATATTCAGGTAATTTTACAGAAGAAACCTGGCTTGTACACAAGGACATTTGTACTCTTCAAATGCATTTTTAATTGTCTTATACAATCTAAGGCAAAAGTCCACTCTGGCTGTTACAACTATAATGTCTTTACTATTTATTTTACTTTTTATTTTGCCCCTTTTTCAATGAAATGAGCTTTAGATTCATTTTGGGTTTTATACAGCTGTATCTTCAAATATCTAAAAACTCCACTGAATAACCGCTATTTTCCCCATAGTTTAAAGGAAAAACTTATGCGTCAGACATCTACATGAATCTCAAAAACAAAACAAAAAAAAAAGGGAAAATCATGCTCAAATAAACTCTGCAGAATATCTTTGGCTAAGGACAGGACTCAAGAAGATGAACGTAGGAAATGTAGAAAACTGCAGTTGCTTCTTCTTCTCTTGTTCTGAAGTTAATCAAAAAGCAAGAATGAAAAGGTCATCACATGTCCAGCTTCTGTTGCTCAGGTGAAAAACTGAGACTACTAAGGAGAAAATTGAACATCTGCACTGCAGATGTGATTTTTGATAAGTGAGTTCTTAGTGTGAATCCTGGATGAGCAAATAAGATCTGAGCAGAAAAACACTCCTCCCTTCCACATACAAAATCTTTATTCTTTTTAAAACTCAAAATTGAAACTGAAGTAATAATTATTCAAGCCAGGTTTACTTTTCCCAAGTACCTTAACCCATAGCTAAGGTTTCTAGATTGAAAGAATAAAAATACAACATCACCAATTGAAGTTGAATTTTACATAAATAGCAAGCTTTAAAAATAAGTATGCACATTTGTCACTGAGATATTTGCCCCATAAATGTGATGTGTTCATACTAAAAAAAATTGCTCATTGTTCATCTGAAGTTCAAATTTAACTGAACCTCTTACATCTTAAGTTTTGATTACAACTGCAGTCTATGCTGCAAAGACAAAATTAGTTATAAGTCACAGATAAAGTAGATGTCTCTCTAAACTTATGTTGAAGAGGCCAAGGAAGAAACTAAATGTATTTCTTCTCATTGCAAAGAAGGCTGTATAGACTATGTTAGTTCCTAAAATTAATACATATATGTAGAAACATTTATATTATATCACAGCAAAATTAGAAAAAATGACTGGCAAAGTAAAAGTAAACATATTTAATTTCAAGTAATGGTCATCTATTTTGTGACATTTTCCCTTTTTTTGGAAAATATTTTTTTCATAAAATTATGCATCTTCTACACTAAGATTTTATTGCTGTTGAACACTTTCATGCACTTAATGAGTGCAAAAGAAAGTTGACAGATATGTGTTAATCCCAAACCTGTTTAAAGCAGTCTAAAAAAAAAATCACAAAACCCAGGAACCAGTGGATTAAAACAACCGAACTTACCAAAATGGTGGCATGGTTTGATTAAATAGTTCCAAATCAAGAACAGTGTGTATTAAGTCGGTAGGAGCTAATTAGGGAAAACTGCATTTCAAAAGAACAATGGTATATTTATGACATCTGTTGAGAAATAGGAGAAGGAATAGAAGCCATGTGAGAAGAGCAGGAGTAATTGTGTTTCTCTCTATTTGGAATCCTTTTATTTCTCTCACCCAAAATACCATCCCCTGACACACTTATGCACTTCAGTGGTTCTTTCCTCATTCATTTCTTTCTTTTCCTCTCTTTTTCTTTTTTCTTTCTTTCTTTCTTTCTTTCTTTCTTTCTTTCTTTCTTTCTTTCTTTCTTTCTTTCTTTCTTTCTTCTTTCCATCTGTCTGTCTATTTCAATGGTTCTTGACTCACATGAGAGTCCTGTCTTCTTTGCTGTGGAATGAGGTAGCAAATTATTGTCCC